GGATGTATTCCTGGATGGCGTGGTGGCAGGTGTGTTAACCCGTAGTCACGCTGTCTCATTAGTTAGTGCGATATGAAGAACGGGACATGTATAATTTGGCTGTGTGAATGGTTTCCATGGTGACTGGTGTTAAGATGTGTGTGGCACAATCTGTAACGATGGTCCGTGTTACCAAAACACTGGGGAATGTGATAGAGGATGAGTGTCGGGATGGTATGATCAAAGTTTGCTCAGAATATGCTAATTTGAGAGAGATTTGTCTTTAAACAGATTTTGGCGGTTATCAATCATAATCTAGATGACACTATAAACAGATATGAGCAATCGTCATTTTTCATATGTATACATACTTAGTATGATATATGGTGTACCAAACGGTTCTTTAATACAATATTTTACATGTATTTCTTGCTATTTTGAGCAGAAGTTCCTGTTCCTGTTGCGGCGCACAATCCCTGGTGTATTCTTCGTGCCCAGACATGCCCAGACACGCCCAGACACGGCATACCTTAAATGTACCCTCGATGGCAGACTTGATGGAATCAGCGGACGCTGATGACTCCTACTATTCCGGAAGTACCGGACTCTCTACAGGATCGACTAAACTCTGCCCTGGTTACACACGGCTGTGCAGAAGCAGCGTGTAAATAAACCTACATCACCTGCTGAAGATCCAGAAACATTGTCAGATACTAACTGGACTAGTACTGTATAACTAATGCTGTGGCGATAAAGTGATAAGAGATAAGATGTGGAGATACATCCCTACACCGCTTTGGGGCGATTAAATGGCCTACTTGATAGAGAGTTTGCGCTGAAGATCTGTTTGAGATTCCTCATAGGCACAACGCGTGAAGCCACTGCTTGAACATTGCTAAGAGCTGCGCAAAGACTTAACACACTCACCGCCTCAAATACCACAATACCACTGTGTCCGTTATACGATTCCGACAATATCATATAAGTATATAATTATGGTTTTCAAAGAGCATTATACTACTCCCGCTCAAGTTGTTTGATTAAAATGACAACATTCTAGGCCAAAAGCTTTGAAAGGGTTTGTTAGGATGACATGTGAAGGGCATTTCCAAATTTGACGCATCAGTGACAAATATACTGTCTGATGTAATTTCCTATTTTGACTTGCACCAAATGGTCCCATGTTTCAGGTGAACGACTGACCTTGTATGTGTTTGTGATAGGTACTACTGTTGGGGCAGGATATATTTTATCGTAGATTACACTGTACTCGACATTTGTTATAGGATTGTTATAAATCTACCTAATTATCATGTATGAAATATGATATTCTTGTCACTATTAGCAAGATGTTCACATTGTCAGCTTTGATAACTGAATAGTATAAACAGCTGAGGCTCATTGTTTGTATCAAAGTCATTTATAGCAAAACGGGGGGCGCGGGTGGCCCAGTCGTCTAAGGCGCCGCGATTCGCTGTGCAGAGTTACGTCCCTTGGGAACGCCAGAAACCTATGATTGCGGGTTCGAATCCCGATTCGCCCCGATTAAGTTTCTAGGTTTGTCAGCACCATACCCGTGCTCCTGGGTTTCACCGAAGTGATAAACGTCTGAGACCTGCATCACTTCGGGCTTTCCTCCCACATTAAGCTGACACGCCGCGACATAACTGGAGCAGTTAAAAGCGGCGTTAAACCCAACTCACTCACTCACTCACTAAAGCAAAACCACGATGACGTTGAAATATGTCCCCTTTTAGTGCTGTTTTCTATTCATATTTCATTATTTGGTAACTGGTGCTTTATTCATATTCATGGGAATCCATCGTCTAGTTTTTGTAAATAGTTTTCTACCAATGAAGTGATTTGTATCCAGGAAATACTATGTCTGTACATTGTCCATTACGTTAAAATGAATTATAGAGATATAATGTCTACAGCGCGTAATCACACGAATAAACTCCTTACTGATACATGTGTAATTATTTCTGGTTTCAGTTAATTAGTATGGAAAAATTAAGATGAGCCATAAGAAACTCCCAAGCAGGCTACATTGTAAATTTAATTTGGCACATGTGAAGAGATAGATTCTTCCACTGTTTATCATTTGGAACTGTCGCTGATGTTTCAGACTAACAAACTAGTTTATTTCTAAACGGTTACATATCTTTGCATAAGTTTATGTCGAAATGCACATATACTTACAACCTAGTGCATGTTGAAAGGTTGTGTTTTCGACCAGTCTCGTTTTCTGCTGATCATCAATGAATGCTACTGTTTTCATGTAAACTTCCTCCTCGCAACGAATATTGCCTTGCGACAAATATCCAAATAATTCAACGAGGACGTGTGCTGTTCAGGAGATACACGGAACTTACCACTGCAATATTGAATTATTCAAATACGAGACACCTTACATTTAAGCCTAGGACTATGTATCTAGTTCCCCAACAGGCAGTGGGTCATACGTGATGTCAGGTCAAGAAGACTAACAGACAGACTGACGGATAGAGTCACCAATATTCAACAATATTCACCTGTAAATAATCGAGCATGAGCCAGACAAACCACCGACGGATATTATGAGCAACGTATAACGCCATCAATAAACCAATTCACCGAGCCTGAACATCCGATCCAATACTGTCGCACCGTATGACCATCACAGATTGATGGCGACCTATTCTAGGCCAGGTCACCACGGAATGCATATCCCATTACTGACTGGCAAGCGAATTGATTTTATATAATTAGTTAAACAAATTTATCATATATTTTATAGATTATTTGATACGGATAAGGTGTACAGGGAGGGGAGGTGAAATAGGGTTTAATCAGGTTCAAGAATGTTGCACTTATGTAGCGACGTGAATGCAGTGACCAGTCCTTGTTTTATTCCCTTATGATAACAAAAAGTACCATATGTTAACGTCTTTTGGTATCGAACCAACGACCTTCCGTTCTCCGGGCAGACGCTCTGTCCACTAGACCACGACGGTTTGAACAGGGAAGTGGTAACAGGATTCATAGGATTCAGGTTTGGGCGCAGATTTTTTTTTATAGCAAACAGTTTTATTTGAATCATGAAAATACAAGTTGGGGACAAGTGATACTTGTACAAATATTTGACAACCCCCTCCCCCGATGCCACATCCATGGTGAAGAGAATTATTATGAATGCACCGGCGATGTTGTTTGTGTGTTGACGGCTATGTGACGGCGGTCTGTAAATAATTGAGTCTGGGTCAGACAATGAAGTGATTGACATCATGAACATCGATCTACTCGAATGGGATAGGATGACATCATGCATGAAGTCAGCGAGCCTGACCATCCGATCCCGTTAGTCGCCTCTCACGACAAGCACAGTCACCTATGGGTTGCTGTAGACCAATTCCAACTTGGATCCCAGCGATGTACATTAATTATTTGTATTATCATATTCAAACTAATTGTCACATTAATCCGTCAAATGAAGCGTACAGGTTGTCATACGGGTGGCATCCGCTACTCACACCATTTGCATAAAAGGTACTCCTGGCATGTTAACAAACCAGACAACCAGACAACCAGACACTCAAGTATAAAGAGTTAAACCATGCGTCTTCAGGGTGTAGCTGTAAACGAGTTGTAGAAGGAAGGAGAAAGAGAAAGAGATAGAGTGGGGGGTAGGAACGTGGAAATCGAAAGTGTGATTCATTCAGGTGACTGCTGTGTCAGTAGTGAGGTGGTATGGAGTGTATTATTACTGTTTTGTATTCTTTGGGGGGGGGGGGGGGGGGGGGGGGGTAATTCGTAGTTATTCTTATTTCGTAGGTTAATCTTTAAGCAGGCAGTCACGCGCACGCTATTAATCGTTTAGATTAACAAACGGCTAAATTATCTACTCCTTCTAAAAAATCTATCTTTCTAATGATTTTCTTTGTTTGTTTTTTGTTTTATTGCTTTTGTTAATAATTGTTTATGTGCCAAAATCAATCAATTTGTGGATTCGTAAGCTAATTATTTTTTAATATGAAGACACTTAGACAAAAACTAAATACAAATGTTGTATCTGCGGTATTGTACGTTAATCGATTTGTTTTGAATGCACTAGAACATACATATAGTGTGGGATATTGTTCATAATGTCATCCACTGGTTCATAAGTCTGTTAAGAATCGATTAGTTGCAAGCCGCCGTGGTATAGCTGGAATATCGCTGACTGGGTCGTAAAAGACCAGACAAACAAACAAAATGTTCATATTTGTGATCCAAACACAAACGAAAAAGATGCGAAGTAAAAATATGTGAAATTAAGGTGCCCTTTAACAATCCAAGGTTCCGTTGAGTAATGTTAACGAGTCTTTCATTGGTAAATATTTGTCATTTAGCGAGACACCTGTTTAACTGGAATTCGAGCATTCACGTGAGTACACACAAGTGAAAGTAGAAATGTTTCCTTACGCTCGCAAGCTTGGATATTTCACTGAGATCTGACCACAACTGTCCATGTTGCCCTTGTCAAATACCTCAGACTAAATTAAACTTATTCCCTCTACGTATCTGTGTTTCAGTTTGATATGAACTATCTCTTCCTTCTGAACAACCTAGACTGAATTACACACACAAACAATCCGTCGGACACCAACTGTGATCCTTTTTATGTGTTACATTAGACTGAGGTAATATTATCAATTGTTAGAAAAATTTAAAGAAAAATTGTAAAGAAAATGTAAGGAAAAGCAAACTGTCAATGTGTTATAGCTGCTAATACTGCAGTAGGAAGCTTATGTATGGTATGGACCCCGACTGTTTATACAGACATTTTAACATGCGAGATGTATTCTTTTGATATTGTATATTACGAAGCGTTGACGATCCATCAAGTTGGTGCATATTTTGATGTATTTCATATGTACACACGCATGGCTATAAATAGTTTGGGTAAACCCATCATATTTCCGGGTACAGAGGTGGTTCTATTGTCGAATCTAAGTGAACAGGGAAATAGAATTATGAATCATCCTGACGGCTGTGTTGCAATGTGATGTACACACCATGAGGGAAGGCTGTTTCTAAACCAACATAATCACAGTGACGACTTAATTCACAAGAGAGGCAGAGAGGCTACATGTGATTTCAACAGGAGAAGAAACATGGAGGTAATATATAGTTAAGTTTATAACATCATCTAATGGATATTAATTATCTGAATGCAAAAAATAACAATTGGAATGGACAATTTTCAATCAAACCGTAGCATGTCAGTTAGACTAACATATAATCCCTGAAATAAATATACGCGACAAAAATATTATAATAAAAGGAGAAAGAAGTTCATTGCACGCGTTTATGAATCATTGTCAAATATAGTGATGATACCAGGTGATTGCGAAAGGGTAAGCGTATCGTTATTTCCTGTACTGTTTCTCTATTCCAGACACGGCTGCTTGCATATTGCTGGATCGTGATCATTGCAACATTCATAGCAGGATCTGGTACGTCTGCATTTTATCGTATCTGAGTCACTTGTTTATGACCTCTGCCCACCCTGATGTACACTAATATAGCAATTAATTAGAATCATTGATACCAAAAAGTTAAAACTTAATCAAGGGCCATAATTTGCCATTAACGGCGTCGTCATTGTAAACCAGAGAATGTTCCACAAAATTGTAACCCAGGACACCTCTGGTGATACAGTTGATACAGATGATATTTCTTTGTAACAGTACATGTGTACACCGCACTAGTATCTTCTTATATTTTGCCTTTGGCTAGAATCTTGTGTGGACACATTGGGGGATCAGTGCAAGAAATTGGATTGTTCACAACCAGGAATAGATGTCAGCTGTGCGAAGACGTGTGCCACTTGCCGAGAAGAAGGTTTGTCATAGAACTATGATTCCTTTATCTGTTTCTCGTTCCTTAAGTTAACCTTAACTTTGGTTAACATGCACAACTTAACCAAATGTTATGTATACAGAGTACACAATTCGGATAAGATCTTGATTGCTGTTGTTGTTTCGTATTTCTATATATGTTAACTTCTAAACACAATATATTGATGATATTCGTTGATATACAATATCTGCCGAAAACAGAGTTTAATAAGTATTCAATGCAAATGTCAATTACAGTTTCTTCATAATACTTTCCTAATAATACGACATTAATTGTGCAGGTTGTGCAAAAGGTTACTACAGGACAGCTGAGAGTATCTGTGAATCCTGTGCCAATCCGCCGCTATCGGTATCAAATCGTACTCACTCATACAACAGTTCCTGTCTGGAAGAGTGTCCCGATGGCAAGTGGGGACTTGACTGTAATACAAACTGCGGCATTGGGTGTACGTCTACTTGTTGCAGGTGGACTGGTCTATGCCATGGTGAATGTAAACGCTGCTACTGGGGTCCTAAATGTAATCATATACATGACGGGTGTAACTGTGACCAAACCACCGGGGAATGTATGTGTAAAAAAGGACGTTATGGAGAAACGTGTTACTCACAGTGCTCATCTCAATGTGGAGGCGATGTATGCGATACCACAGGTACGTGTTCGAGCGGATGCAAGGAAGGTTGGTCTGGCAAGATGTGCGATCACTCCTGTGTAAACTGTTTACTGAGCAAGTGCATGGCTGATGGAACCTGTACACATGGTTGCAAGGCTGGTTTCTATGGTAACTTGTGTCAGGTCGCATGTAATGAACACTGTAACAATATTATATGTAGATGGAACACAGGCGAGTGTGACGAGGGATGTACTGCTGGGTGGTATAGTGGCAGATGTGACATCAGATGTCCAGGAAACTGTGCTTCAGAATTGTGTAACAGAACTGATGGTGCATGTTCACACTGTAAGAATAGTTTCATGGGTTCTAACTGTAACACACCATGTCCACATAATTGTGGTACGAAGACATGCAAACAAAAGGACGGTTCGTGTGTCAAGTGTAAAGTTGGCTACAGCGGATCTCACTGTAACACACCTTGTCCAGACCAGTGTGCCACAGATGCCTGTGAACAACATGGAGCTTCCTGCACAGGATGCAAACCTGGCTATAAAGGTCCACACTGCGACACCCGGTGTCCAGATAAATGTTCGAGTTGTCACCAATCTGAAAATACATGTATCTCATGCAATGCTAACTGGTACGGGGGAACATGTGGCAAATCTTGCAACACATGTCTGAATGGTACATGCAACATAAATGATGGAGCCTGCCTATATGGATGTAAACCTGGTAGCTATGGACACCGCTGTAATAGAACCTGTAATGAAAACTGCTTAAAGACAGAATGTTTCCGTGACTCGGGAAACTGTACACACGGATGTAAGGACGGCTGGTGGGGGCCTCAGTGTAACAGCAGATGTCCGTCACACTGTGCCAGGTGTGATAGAGTTGATGCTGCATGTCTGGAATGTGAGGAGAACTACTATGGAGAGAACTGTAGCAGCAGGTGTTCACCCAGGTGCGGCAGCTGTAACAGAACAGGACACTGTCTTACCTGTGCTGAAGGCTGGGAGGGAGACAACTGTCATGGTAACGTTCCTTTTGTTAGCTCACCTGACAGAAGGAAACGGCGTTTGGGCCGAGACACCATTTCCCTCCACTGTGTTGCAAAACTAACGTATTTCTTAAGTATGTGTCTTTATGTGTAAGCTGCGGAAGTAATTCAAAGGTAACCTATCATTTATAGTTTCAACAAAATCATGAACGAGCTCCTGTGTTACTGGATTGCCTAGCAAAGATTCAACCGTCGCATAGCATTAGTATTGTTGTGCGGCGTTAACAACAAACAAACACTAACATTTTTATGTTGTGTAAGTTGCGGCTGCTACATACCTTTTAACTAACCCCTGGTGAATTTTTCAGTGATCAATTGTCATAATGTTCCTTAAATGTTGTAGGTGGCACGGGTGGCCCAGTCGTCTAAGGCGCCGCGATTCGCTGTGCAGAGGTGCGTCCCTTGGGCACGCCAGAAACCTATGATTGTGGGTTCGAATCCCGGTTCGCCCCGATTATGTTTCTAGGTTTGTCAGCACCATACCCGTGCTCGTGGGTTTCACCGAAGTGGTAAACGTCTGAGACCTGCATCACTTCGGGCTTTCCTCCCACATTAAGCTGACACGCCGCGATATAACTGGAATATTGTTAATGCGGCGTTAAACCCAACTCACTCACTCACTTAAATGTTGTAATCTTGATCAAACATTTTTTCAGCAAGAGTCGTATGAGGCCCTTTTAAATCTTGCTTGATCAAGGTTACAACATTCAAAGCCTTCTCGGGATAAGAGGATAAGCATTACTAAGTATAGATTCGATCCCCCGGGTGCGTCATACCAAAAGATAATACACTTGTTGTTACCCTGCATGGAGCTCGTCTCGGGATAAAACAAAAACTGGTAGGCATGGTGCCAGTATACTGTGTCTGAGTGGGATATTCATGTTAAAACCGCGGTATAATATCTCAGTGGGTAGTATTAGCAGCAACACACACACTTACATGGTCGTTGCAATAATCTTGAAAGCGAAGTTCCTTCCTGTTTCACACCACCACTAGCTATTTCTATGGAGGAACAAAACACAATATTATACGTTATCAGTCTTGACTGTCAGAAAATATGATTATTGATAAGATGATAGAGTTTCTAGAAGAGAATATATCTGTGTATAAATCACTCACGCCATAGGGCCACAATATATACCAACGGAAAAAGTAACTGTGCTTCATATAAAGCCGTGTAAATGTCATGTAATTAAACAAATATTTGGTCATTCGTCTGATCAATGTTTTGTCATAACAAATTCATTGACAAAACTCATACATGGTAACAGGAGACAGAGCGCCACGCCCAACGAGAGGGGTTGTGTAACAACTCAATTAACCAAGTCAGTTATCGGATGTGACAACTGTTTCCCTTGATACAGGGGAGTCAGCGGCGGCGCATAAAAAACACCAGGTGATTGAAAAAAAGCCTTTGGGATGTTGTTCTAAATGTCAACCAAAAAATTTTCCCAAATGATCAAGCATTACCGGCTGGTTTTGATCCCTTCGTCGCCGTCGTTTCACCACACCCGAGAGGTGTTCTGTGTGGAAGAGGTCAGGGGAAACAGTCGGCCATGGCAGTACAGCAGTGTTATACTGCCTCAACGTCTGTTGCATTACGTTGGCGGGCATTATCCTCCTGCAACATGACGTTATGTCAATGCATTTGCACAAAGGTCCTTACGCCATTCAGAGTTGACTTGTGTTCTCCCATGAGTTGTGATGCCACTCCATACCATTACAATTCTAAAACTGACGACGTTGAGTAACGCAAGCGTTGCTAAAACGTTCTCCTGGACGCCTGCAGACCCTTGCACGACCATCATAGCTGTCCAGATGAAACATGGACTCCGCTGTGAACAGTATGCTGTCCCAGTCCTGTCTTATGAAGCTTTTGAGGCTGTCTACACTAAGCAAGACGTGCCTGACGGTGACGTGAATCCACAATTTGGCTGTTTCTGGGACGTCGGAGCAGGATGTTGTGATCCCTCAACGGGTTGCGCACAGTTCTGCCACTAATTGGTCTCAATCCAGGAATTGTCGGAGTTGTTAAAGTGGCAGTTTGGTATCGATTCCGAAAACGCACCAATCGAATATGGTTATCTTTGTGACGTGACGTCATACCTGGTCGACCGGCCCGTGGCAAGTTGCCCCGCAGTAGATTACGTCTCCAAAGAGAATATATTGTGTTTCGATGTTAAAATGCCTGGCAGCAAACCCACGCCGCGTTGACGTTAGTTTTAAACAAGTATTGGCATTGCGTAAACGTTATTTACAGTAAACAAAAGTTGTTGTTTTTTAGCACCTGACAGCTAAACCATCACTGTATGCTGTTCACATTAAAAATCCACGTGTGAGAGTATCTTGCTCCCAACAAATACGCAAACATCGAAATTGTGCGCCGTGCATGAACATGTACGTGCAAATTAGGAATCACGACCTTAAAGTCGAGGAGATGTCTTCTATGTAATAAGAGAAGCATTATCTAATATCAGAATAAATATATTTTCATTAAACGTTATATGAAACACAGTTATTTTGATCGATTACAATACACACAAGGGGGACATCATGATTGTACAAGTCAATAAATGACGTTAGAATTATGACATATGAAATGAATTATTATTTACCGGCGGAATAAATCTTAAAAAGCATAGAATAACTCACTAAACGTAGACCTTCGACATAATAGGCAAAGACAAACAGTTAGACATTTTGACAACATTTCCCAGTGAAAAATCATAGTTTCAAATACATCTTAATATATGAACATGAATAGAACTTTTGTAAGTTCCGTGCCATTGATCTATCTCTTTTGTATCATATTTCAGCGTCGAAGAGTCTGCAGCCATCAACACTAATATGGACCTCTGTAGTTGCAATTCTGCTGCTTATCATTGTGGCCATGACCATTAAGATGTAAGTCCGGATCCTTACAGTGACAATATAGGATTAATATCTGAATTAACATCCTCTATTGTCCAATTTAAGAAATAAACAACGACCACAATATATATGAGATATTCCATGGCTGTTTCTAAAATCTGATTGGACGGCTATTATTAGCAGCGTGTCTCTCGAATGCCCTTCAAAACGAAGCCATGTTGGCGAAAGTGAGTGAGTATGGTTTTACGCCGCTTTTAGCAATATTCCAGCAATATCACGGCGGGGGACACCAGAAATGGGCTTCACACATTGTACCCATGTCGGGAATCGAACCCGGGTCTTCGGCGTGACGAACAAACGCTTTAACCACAAGGTTACCCGACCGCCCCTGCTGGCGAAAGGGTCCAAGGGATTTATCATACATATAATATAGTGGATACTTGA